AGTTTAGACAGGGCCCTTTGTGTCAGAGATTGTTGCGGGAAATTTTCTCATCAGTTTTCCATTCAATACAAAAAAATATATTACTTTCAAAACAATAAACTGCAAAGAGGAAATTTAAACATTTCTAGTTTTCAATAAAGAAAGAACAAAATATGTCAAGAAAAATAGAAAAAGAGATCCTGTGACATTCATACGGTTAGTTTCAACCTAAAAAAAGTAACATCCAAATCAACATATACAGTATTGGAGCAGCAAACAGAAAGACGTTCATCCTATAGTTTGGCTTAACTTTTTCTTCCCAGGTTATGTAAGGACTGACTTTCTCTCAAGACAAACACATCTACATCCTCTTGTTCCTTTGTTAGAGCTTTCTTATCCAACCCTGTGCTAAAACATGCTTTATTTCTTCACATTCCATTACCTCATCAGGTCACCCTTTCATTTTCCTCTTTARAAGCAAAGGAGTATTTAGACCATTGTAGAAAAACTTTGTTCTGAGTTTAATGGTTTTGTGGGGTTTCATGGGTAAAAATCTTAGCAGCTAATGGTTCTTTTAATAACTGTATTCATCTTTGTTCCACATTTCTATGATCCAACATTTTGTTTCACGTTTTAGTTGAAAGGCCCTGTCACAATGAGATGTTTTAGACAACTTACACCAACATTTTAACACGCTGAAGAACAGAGAGAAAAAAAACRTTAAACAGAAGCCTCTTTTTGACATGTACATACCGTGTTGTTAACATCTTGAACAAAAGTGAAACCTATGTGTAAACTGTCCCTAACTTATACATAACATGTACAAGCTTATAGCATGTTTAGACTTTTGCTGCAAGAATGTGCAACATTAGTGTAACTTTTGCACAGCTTGTTGAAGAAAATGTGACAGTGACAGGTGTCACACAGCATTAACTTATAGGGAAATATTAGCTTTTTAGATTAAACTACCAGCATGTTGATACAAAAGGGCATAGTTGTCATATGGCCATACCAGTTCATATTTTTGAACATGTTCAAAATTTTCTGTTGCTGATAATCTCTACACAAGTTTCAGGTATGTTACAGGTAAATGTACACACACACACACGCGTATTCTTTTGCGGGTTTTCAGAAATCTAGTGCAACAAAGTACACAAAGAACAAAAAGGACCAAAAACAAAATCCACTACAGCTGTTAAGGGTCTACAAATGGATTATTTCTGGACTATTCTATAGTGGTGCCATGAGACAGAAAATTCTAGATTTAACTTAACTTGTAATTTATTGAAATTAATTATGAACATTTGTTTAACCTCAAGAGCAGTCGTTGAAACAGCAAGTTTCTCATTAGATCTGTGTTTAACAATTCAACCTTTTTCATTTTGTTGATTTTGCTTGCATAGTTTTCCTATATAATAATATAACATATGATAATGGTTATGAAAAAGTCAAACTGACATTGCACAAGCTTTGTATAAGTGAAGGTAGTCGGGTTAAAATAGTTACGTGTTCGCTTCAGGATTGTCCCACTTGTTTTGGACATRTGACCACTTCTGAGTAACAAATTAATACCTTACCTGTAACATATGTGAACTTATGCACAAATTATCTGTAGCATACCTGTAACTTGTGCCTCACTTATCAGCAGCAYGTCAGCATGAGCTGTCMATTTTGATCAGGTACACAAATACTGACTGGCCATCAGATGCGTAACACATTCAAAACTTACACCTAACTTATACAACTTGGACACAATTTGCATAGGTCGGCATAGGTTGTCTAAACTGTTATGGTGTGACAGGGCTGAAGGAAGATTTATTTTTTATTCATATATTACACCAATAATTTTTCTCTCAACTAACTATACTGATGTAAATAACATTTAAAAGGGATTTTCAGGCCCGCTCGTACTAAAGCATTTAAGGCAACTTAAGCAGACTTATGAAAATTGTTACGACTAAACTGCTCTTTAACACTGAAGTGTGTACATGAACAAAAATGGGTTCCAGTAGTTTTTTTTTTTTTGTTCCATCTTTAACATAGACATCTTCAGTGTTGAACATTTTTATAAGTTGACAAAAGGTTTTTGGAAATGTTATAGTGTGACAGGGCCTTAAGGTGAGGCCAATGCTAGGCTCCTAGGCATTAGCTAGCCTATTAGAGTGCGCTAGCAAACTCAAAGAGACTAGCAAACGTTAAAGTTGCATAGAGGTTTGTGGCTTGCAAAGTCTTAAGACTTTCTTTAGAGTGGTCCTGTCRTAGAATGTTTAATCTAAAAACACAGAAAGGATTTGTTTGCTTACATCTGTCAACAGAATAAATTGCATGTAGCTCCGGATGATGACTTCGCTATGCTCTAAATAATTTCCACAAACTATTTGAAATTTGAAAARCATCTGTGGGAGTGAAAACAATCCTGACACTTCTACAGTTTTAGTACTTTAGTTTACTTTCACTCCTGTATTCTCACCATGCTCTGTGTGCCCAGTCCAGAACACCTCCCTCAGTAGAATGTACAGGTGCATCTAAAACAATTAGAATATTGTTCAAAAAGTTCAGTTTTTTTATCAGTCAGTTCAGGAGTAGCTTGGCTTGAGGAATGGGACAAYTGAAGCCCCTATTATTAATTAGGAGTTTGCTCCTGCCCAGACTGCCAAAAGATGCAAGTGTAATATTCTAATTCTCTAAGACACTGAATTTTGTTTTTTCAATATTTGTAAGCTAAAATTATCAAAACTAGGAGAAAAGGCTTCAAATATTTCACTCTATATGTAATGAATATGTAATGAGTTTTACTTTCTGAACTGACTGACACAAAAAATGTTAACTTTTTTAGGATATTCWATTTTTGATACACCTGCAGCCTCCCACAAGAAGCACAACTCTACAGCAGAAGTTATCACTTCTATGCTAAGTTGCTTTCATGACCATGGCCTAATTATGATCACAGCCGGTCTTTAATATTCCTGACTAACAATTCGTGTTGTTGATTGACCAAATAAATCAAATACTCTCTAAGCACTTGTGCTATCAAACTGCCTTTTTCACTGCTAAAGTAAAAACTACTCAACTGCTGCCATCACCTGCTTTGATGTGCTCTATTTTGAACATGTTCAGCGCAAAGTCGACTTATTTGTAATATCCCATATAGCAAGATTTGTTTGGCCCAGTTCTGGCCCACTCAGCCCTGATACCGCAATGAATGACGGCCCTTTGGTGGTCCAGATGTGGTTTGCAAGCGATGGGCCATGTATAAGCCAGCGCCACAAAAACCAAACCACAACTGGGCCAGTTGTGGTATGCCATCGTAACAACAGTGCCATCCTTGCCAGATGTGGCCCACATTCAGTTAAACCACTGACCATGCCAGCTTAGGATGACCAGACGTCCCTGATTTCCCTGGAAATGTCTCTGATAGATTATATATTTACCTGTTTGGTCTCTTACAACAAMTGAAATCTTAGAACCCATAGTTAGGCTCTACAACAGGGCCTACAAAATTCATAAAAAAACTTCCTGGTTGGACTCATTGTACAGTTCTTTCATTGTCTGATGCCTTGACTTTTCAGAATTATGTTTTGTATAGTGGCATTAATTTATATTTTCAGATCTTCCAAGGTGCCACTTATGGAACTCTCTGTGCATTGTTGCCCAAATCAAATTCTGGAAGTGGTCTTTCAACTAGATCTGTTACAAAAGGACAACTGATATTACCAACTTTTAAAAACTGTTACGGCCAGAGGTCTTTCTTACTAAAGCATGGAATGACATTCCTCAAAACATAAAGTCTATTTCAAAACTACAGCCCTTTAATAAGAATCTTGTCTGCTGTCTGCTGGACACTTTTTGTTGTGCTCATATTTAGACGTCCTATTTTGCAAATGCTGCCTTCCTGAAATTTGGTATGCTTGTTTGTCTTTGTGTCCATGGTGTATAATGACGTGATTGTGATGCTGTAATTCTGAGTGTTTATGTGCTGCAGAACAGGAACCTGCTGTAAAACAGCAATCATGCTGAGTCAGGCTTGATTTTTAATAATCTTTTCCTGTTAAATAAATAAATCAAATCAAATAATATTTTGTAGATGAGAAAAAAATGCTGAGTACAGACTGTTATTACAGTCGTTGAGTAGAAAGCAGGAGTGAGCACGATGAGTGCAAAAACAGCTATTACAGTAACTGGTCGGGCTGCTAACGTTACAGAGTAGAAGCAGGGCAGAGCATGCTGCCTTTAAAAAAGGCTGTGTAGCTGCAAGGGATGCTGGGTAACWTGGTGGACAGTRTATGTGTGCTTGTGTATGACCGTTAAAAGATGTTTTTGAGTAAAAATGAATTGTTCTGGTGAGTTATCTTGTTCATGTTGGTTAGCTGTTCATGTTTAAGTCTGTGTTATTGGCTGTAAATGGACACCATGTGTGAGAAGTACTTCCTGCTGAGAGGGAAGCATTTCCTATTGAGAGGTTGTGTGAAGATGAAGTGACTTTATTGAAACTTCATTCCATTGTGCTTGACTGCAAGCTTCTAGAAACATACCATTTGTAAATGTTAATAAAAGCATAGCTGTCCCAGTTTCTTTATTTCATCTTTATAAACAAATAAAAAAGCAGGAAATGTACTGATGTAATTTCGGAAATCTGGTCATCTCATGCCAGCAGTCAGCCAGAAGAGCTGGCTTGACACCAGGTCTGGCCCACATCTGTCTGCTATGAGGGACGAGTCTTGTTGGTGAATGTTATGTGCCTAAGTGACATAACTGCACTGACCATTGGTTGAGTGTTGCACAATCACAGTGCTCCCTTAGTGCTGCAAAACACACACACCCCTATAYGCACAAGTCTTAAWAACTGGTTCGAAAGCACCCGTTGTGTCATTYTAATTGTCAAAACCAAAGATCATCTACTTTTATTTAGCATGGAATTATTTCCTCTTTCTGAGAGTCCACCTTGGAATGTAAAGCTTCACAACCAAAATGTAGAGCAGAACAAACTGCAGTGTGCAACAAGGCATTCTGTACTATGTATGGCATATGAATATTGTAAAATACAGATAATAAGAAAAGTTAAAATAAAACTCATTTTCATTTCTAAATATGCCTAAAAAAAACCTATTGGCTTCTTGATCGTCTCACTCGTTTTGTTTTAAGAAATAGTGCAWCCCATCCTCTGTTTTGTATTTGTTCCTCTACGTACAGCAGACATTYAGACTTCTCAGAGTTGGCCCTTGTGGTGTGACTTGTTTCTTAAAAAGTGGCTGAATCCAAGCAGTTWTCCACTTATTTCTCCTCCAGTAAAGGCAATGTGGTATCATAGCTTTAATATTGTAAATCTGACATAACTGCAGGGCTTCATACATTTGAGGAAAAGTCGTATCTTTTTTTTGTTGTTGACAGATTTACTTTGATGTACAGCTATATTTCACAGCCCCACAGATCCATTTTCCATCGGGTTTTTTTTTTATTCCTCTACGCTGCAGTCATTATCAGATTCTTCCTAACTGTGATTGTATTAGCTCATCACTCAATYGGCTCACTAATTATTAATAGACACAATCAGCTTTAAAACAACAAGACTCACATAACCTTTGTCCTATTTACCCTTATGTTATTCCTCTGCTTGAGAAAACACCTTTGTCTTCACTTAAAGAGTGTATGGACAAGATGAAAGCCACGACTCGTCTGTAGATGCTTGGGAGACTTGACAATGCAGGTATTGAACAGGTAATGACACTGAATGACCAGGAGGTGATGAATAAGAATGCTTTGATGTGCCAACTTTGTCTTGGTGTTGTTGACCGAGTCAGATCTTTTTTTTTTCTAAGTTTGAAGCAAAAARTTGTTTGTGATTGCTTGGTGGAAAGATTATGTGCTTTCTTGATTTGTCTCAGTTGGTGGACGACTTGTTTCCCAGGGTTTGAGCTTTTCTTGTCCTTCTGTAGTAAAAGTGGAATTTGTTGGACACCATCACTCTGCCCTGGAGGTCTGACTGAAAATCAGAATTGTTTGTCTCCAAAATAATACATTTCTACTGAAGGCAGAGAATTCTGGGGCGTCCTCTTCCCATTGTTTGGARCAAAAGTTAGTATGCATGGAAGGAAATAAGGAAGTGGTAAAAGAGAGTATGCAGAAAGGACTGAGTGGAGGAAGAGAGAGAGACGCTCAGCAGACAACTCTTGCTTCTCTTGACATTCTTTTCTTTTCATGGATGAGACTGTGTCCCATTGGGAGATGAAAGGAGTCTGGTCTTATCTTTCCCCGACTCTCGTCGTTGCAAAACGGCCTCGCTGTTGCTGATGCTGCTCAGGCTCACCCCATCGACTACATGCTCCCTTTCTCCTCGATTTGATTCGCTCTCAGAATGCCGAGAGTTCTGACGCGAAGGACCACTTGGTTGGTGGGAAAGCTGACCATTCTTCTCATCTGTTGGGCAAAGTGGTTCAGTTGGACGGAGAAGCAATGAAGACGTTTCYTGTAGATTGTGTGTGGTTTGTGTGTGTGTGAGTCGGAGGTGCTCACCTGCCAGTGCTTGCACCGAAGGCTGATCGTGGGTGCTGAGGAGTTGAGCTTGAATGGTTTCTACAACTCGTTTGAATCTGCGGCTAGGACCTGAGGGGAGAACAGGTCAATAGTTCTTTAGTTTTTTCAACATTTCTTATGTATTATTGTGTGACTGCTGATTAAGTATTTATGTGGTCCTGTTTATAACTTCTTATGTACATTGTTTTGGAAATTACTTCTGTTTAYTCTGTRCTATTTTAACCATTCATAAAAATCCTTTGTAACTTACAGTATGTAGTTTTTTATTTATTTATTTGTATTTAACTTTATTTATAAGTCAAACCCAAAATACACGAGATCTTTTCAATTTCTTCAAAACATTGTAGAACGACCAGTACTTCAACAGACATGCTTCGTTTTTGTTTCCCTATGATCCTTATACGTGTTTTCTAAATTTTAACTTGTAGTTTTAATTTTAGCCACAGTTTTGCTAGCCTTTTAGCAACAGCTCTGCTCATTTTAGCGTATCTTTTATTTGTTTTAACTTTAACAATTCAGTTCAGTTTTCATCAAAGTCATGTGGCATTCCGTATTCACACTGCATTTTCACATGAATTTTTTTTTGTCAGTTTATTTTTTCCAAGATCATTAACCCAATGTCCCAAAATGAGCCAGCTGTAAATAAAGTGAAATCATTGGATTGTTGTTTGAGTTCACCACTTGGTGGAGCTTTTAAACTTGGAACAAATTGCCTTCATGAAGATGTTCTGGCAGACAAAAGCTAAAATAATCGTTCAATACAGAATGAGCTAAAAGATTAGAAAAAGCCCTACATGTAATGAAAAGCTATCCCTATAAATAACATCAATTATTCTAAAATAATTTAAAAAGACCTGTTAATGTATTTAAGTTCAGCATCTAATTTAAAATATCAGGCCTTAATGCACATGTGTCAAATTCAAGTCCTGCAGGCCAAATGTGGCCCATGGGTGACTTCAGTCCAGGCCCAACAAAAGCGCCACCACAAAATTTTATTTTTAATTGATTTATTACGAAAATTGGTTTTACATGAATAGTTGGCTTTGAGTAACTGTAGCCCCCTGAGACATTTAGTTGAGTAWCCCTGYATTAATGTCTCAAAMTAAGTTGCTTTAAAAGCAGCATTGACCAGAAACTACATCTCCCATAATGCATGTCGATTGTGTATGGGAATTCCCCATCAGAAAGTGGGAGAGTTCAGAWTTCAAGACTTACCACAACTCAACAGTGAATAAAAMTCTCTTACTTTTACTTTYATTTGTATTTTTGCTCACTTGTAGCAATGAGACAAGGAACGTATCATTTTCGGTTTAGTTGAAGTTAAACATCAAACRTCAAAGTTAATTACGACTGGCCCCTTGAGGGAAACCRTGACGCTCACGTGGCCCTYGGTGAAAATGAATTTGACACCCCTGCCTTTATGTAAACATAAAAAAAACATTCAAATTAAATAAAATCTGCAAAATACAGTACGTTGCCTCAGATCCCTAAACTGTTGATAATCTTTTATATTTACAGGGTGTTTGTGTTGCCAGTTGGGAGTGATAAGAACAATCTTTAAACATAAACATCATGAAACATTTAATTGTAAAATTATTCAAAGAAATAATGTAAATAAAAGAAGTAATTTTTAAATTACTGATAATTTCAAGTGACTGCATTCTGAAGTTATACGTTTATTTCATTTTTAGGAAATTCTGGTAGAATCTACAGACTGAAAGCCACATTTAATAAAAACTGACATTAGTGAAATAAGGGAGTAATGGTAAACATTACTCACATTACTCACACAGGTACAAGAACACACTGAAGTGTACAGTGAATACATTTATCACAGGTGATTAACTTTGACCACGTTTCRAGTTTGGTTTTGTCCTTTTTTGGTTTGTTCTTCAGGTTCTGTTGGAAAGGWCTTGATTCCCTTTAAAATATGTTTAGGTAAGGTTATTAGATTATGAATGCATTTGAATACATATATGAGGYAAATATGCACTTTTTATGGTTCACACCATTATTTATGAAGCCTGTGTGAATCACTGCTTTGTCACAAAAGCTTTTTGTAGCTCAGGGCACATGTGTTCAGCTTTATTTCCCCGTCTGTTCCTTTGARCCTCATACCTGTTAGTAAAGTGAAAGTGACGCTATAGATGCCCATCTCTCTCCGTCCTTCTTTTTCTCCTTGTTCCCTCTCTCGTTCCCTCTCTCCTTCAGAAAAAGCAATATCCACCTGCAAGAAGGAAGCAAAATGATGCTTGCATCCTTAAAACATTTGATTTTTTTTTCCATGGAAAAGCTTACACCTAACAGCTGAAAGAAGCTTTACACAAACAAATAATTTGAATAGAATATGCCAGTATACTTCTAGTTTATTAAATTATTTCAAGATATGTGCCATGTGAATTATTTTATACACTTGCTCCATCCTGACTGACTGCCACTGACCAGGACATAACCACTTCTGTTAACATTAGTCTTTAGTTTATGCAGCCGGAAATGGTGAGCCTAAAACTAAAGTATTCTATTCTTTACGTTCTGTAACTTTAATTGCTCTATTGTAAAAATTGTCAAAATTAAAAAATAAAATACTTGGAACTTGACAGGTTTCTGGAAGACCGAGGGGCCCCCCGAGGTTTTGTATTCTGCCCGGAAACAGTTCTGAGACACCACACTGTGGCTGAGGGACGGGATCTGTGGGAAGGAGAAAGATGGAAACCTAAAATCAGTGAAGTTAACACTGAAAAGTGTATTGTATGCACAAGGCTGCTCAGAGGTTGATTGCACTCACAGAGAGGAAGGCGTGGACAATGTCAGCCTTGATTGAGCTGAGGGGCTTGTCTCTGATCAGCACAAAGATCTGCTCCTCCTTCTCCAGGCTGATGAAGTTACCAAACCACGACTTCTTGGCCAGTCTGCAAAACATCGCAGAAAACCTTCGATCGCACATTTTATCGTTCATAACAAGCACATTTCTCAAAAAGATTCTGAACGTTGCAGCTACTGCTAAAAATCCAACATACAACAACTTTCTTCTACAAGTCCCAAAAGTAATTTGGGACTTTTGTAATAATCTTCTTTCAGGAGATGCCACATCGAGTCATTCTCCTCCATCTCACTCTAAGTCCACTTCTGCTCCAACTGCATCCATTTATCTCCTCTTTTGCCTTCATATTTTGTTCCTGACAGCTGCATCACTAGCATCTTTCTACCAACATACTCACTGTCCTTCCTCTGCACATGTCCAAACCCTCACTAACTTTTATCTCCCAGTCGTTCAACATGTGCTGGACCTCTGATGATCTCATCCTTGTCACTAGTAAGGAGAACAACTTCAGCTCCGACACTTGCAATTCTGTTTCGTATCTTTTTGTCAATGCCACTGTCTCTGAGGGAACGGCTAACTTTTGAATGTCTGAAATTAAATAAGTCTGAGAACTGAATCAGTTTCCTGTGCATTATTTGAGTATTCAGTTAAACACATTTCTGACACACGAGGGCTCTAAACTAATTTTTTTCTGTGACTTTTTTTTCTAATGTGCACCAGCACAAAAGTTAGGTGCACCCAAATTTTCGACCGCATCACATATAACATCAGAGTTTTGCAGGTTCACTTTTTAATTAAATCACAGTTACCATTAACTCGCAAATAATTAGTTAACAATGTAGTAAACATAAAATTCTTTATTTGAACCCAGGGTTCCTACAGCTTAAGGCAAATTCAATTTAAGACCTTTAAGACCTCTTTAATGCCACTTGAAATGAAATTTAAGACCAACTTCACAAAAAACACAAGTGTAAAATAAAAACCAAGTTTTTGACAATTTTACCCAAATGTTTATTTTAGCACAAAACAACTAGCTGAGCRAGGCAGTAAATTACTTAAAAAATAAATAAATGTTACCAATTATTTTAATATTTGAAACAAATTACAATCATCCTAATTACAATGTGTTAACATTTTTATAATCACTGAAAGATTGATTTAAGACATTTTAAGCCTAATTAAGGCTTTGTTTTGGACTGATGAATTCAAGGCCTTTTAAGACTTTTTAAGGATCCACGGGAACCCTGGAACCAGAATTGTACAAGACATATAACTTACTGAAAAGTAAAGTGATTTTATGATCTAAAATTTTACATCAAACATCTCAAGATAAATGAAACAAAAAAAATCTAAATTACAAGTGCAAATGTTTAAGTGCTGAATATCTTGTAAACATTTCAAACTGAACRTTTCTTGGTGTAGGGGTCACCTTAAGCGAAATATCAAGGAAACTGTGTTGGACCTCAGACCTCTGATAAAGAGACAGAACTCTGATCCGGTTGAACCTGAATTTGGGTCACAACAGGTCAGCTTAAACTGTACAAGAGACACTCTCTTTTTCTTAATCAGATAATAAACAGAATCATCTTCTTTTTATTTGATTTATGTTTCTCTTAGAGTTATGACACATTTTGATAATCATGAGACAATGTTTATCAAGTTACAGGAGAAAAGAGGGCACATCTCTTTTCTCCCTCAATGTGATTTCAGCTATATTATTGATTTTTTTGTGGAAATATCTTATTTAACTAAAGTAATCATTATGATTTAAGTTTTGATGAAACACAAGTGTTTTATGTTTCTGAATCATGTTGCAAATGTTTTGAGTTTGAAGTAATTCATTATTTCAGTCATTATTTTTAAAGAGTTCTYATCARACAATATCTAAACAGGTCAAYAAGTTTTGTTTCTGAACTACACAGATTACAATAATGTATGTTTAAAGATAAGTTGGCATCTTGGCAACTTCTSAACTAACATTYCTCTYATCTGTGTACTAAACTTATCGACTGAAGGCAGAACCAAAAAACCCTCTTTAAATTACTAACACAGTTTCCGCCCAGACCGTAGAAGGAGACGGACACCCTTCCKTCRACACTGATCAGCTGTTCTCCTCCGGGAGAACTAGCGTTTTAGGCAGAGTAATTCGTCCATGCRCCAAAGGACGTATTTCTCGGCCGGGCCACCCCAACGCCTGGTGTGACCCAAAACAAGAGCTCAAGGCTCACAAAGCAACTTTGTCTTGACTTCCTGTGGGGAGCAAATTTTATTTTGGAACCGGGATCCAGTTTGGCTTCGCCCCTCTCCTGTGGCTGATGTGGATTAAGCTGGCGCTGAAAGAGTAACTCGTGCCTGGACGGTCCAAGCGAGTAAGGAACTTGGAAGTTGCCTTGCTCACTGTCCGACCTCCCTTACTACCTGAATTGTGACTCGACGGTCATCTCACAGGTAACGGTAGCTAATTAMTAAGGGTGTATTCAGACCAGGAAAGTTCTTTGGTCCAATTGTTTGGTCCGGACCAAGAATGGACTTTTTTTTTTTGTTTGGTGCGGTTTGCATTCACATTGTGCTTTTTTGCAAATGAACTATAACTTGTAAACAAAGCCATCAGGCTGACGATCATTGCTCCCA